TGTTTCTTAATAGTAGCCTCTTAGTTGTGCAAATGTTAGTCCTTAAAATGAATCTGAAAGTCTTTGTGCCAGTTACCAAGATCCTCAGCTTCAGTATATTTTCAGTCTGTATATGGACAATTTCTGACCCCAGTCAACCTGTTTTTTGACTCGTGTTCTGGATTTCTAGATCTAGTTTAAACTTCAGCAGGTTTAAAAGGGACCTTACAGTGTTTGATCGTGCTACTCTAAATACTGCTCTTTTCACACGCTCACCCTTAAACTTGCATAGCGTTTCATGAACCACACTTTGCTTTGGCAGATGCTTACATTGAGAAGGGTATATGCAACTTCTGCCAGTGAATGTATGAACTTCAACGGTTTTGATATTTGACTTGGTGTAATTTCAGAACAAGATGTAGTAAATATTTCATGTTGTTGGGTGCTTTCCTGAAAGATAAGACGCATTCAGTAAAAAGAGACCAGTGGGATCTCCAGATATCTGGGTGGCATTATTTATGGTTGAGGAGCACTTGTAAGCATCATATAGCAAATAAAAGTAGATATGAGAATGAGGCCAAAAGATGGGCAGAAATTATCATTGTGGGCAGCCCTCAGGCCCAGGGAGGCTGTTATGTAGCAGACTTCTGTGAGGGTGAAATAGTGTATGGTTAGCATATGAAAATCATATTTGAGGATGTACTCAAAGGCAAGAGGTTTAAAAGATAATCGAACATTACCATTAATACTATTAATATCTTAGTTTTAAATGGGTTTAACTTGGGTCATGGACTCAAATGGCTTTTTTTTCTTATTACTACTGGTTATTTAGACAACTGATAAGTAGCAGTGTGGAAAAGAAGCAATATTTTATGGAAATATTCATTTAAAATTACTATTTTCTGCTATTCTTTTTTTTACTGTAGACTTTAAAATCTAGCAAATGGAAATAAACTGCTTGTCCTAGCAGCATCAGTGTTCCTTCCCCAAGGCTCATGCTGCTTTGTTTACATTTGGAAATACCTGTGTGTGGATCTCTTCCCTTTTTTTAATTCCACAAGCAGTCACTGAATGTGCTTGACCAACTTAAATCATAAGCAAGAATGGTTAATACATGTCACTAATGGATCGTCAGCATGAGTTAAGATGTTTTTGTTAACGTAGGCAGGCAAAGTTATGGGAAGAGGAGTTCATTGAAGGTAGTTTGAAGAAATTACGATTAATACTAGCGTAGACTTGGTTTTGAAAATGGGAAGTGAATTTGAGAACTGTGGTGAGCCTGAAAAACTTGATGATAGAAGGAGGAAAACAAAGAAGCTGAAGTCCTGTGGTTCTGTTTCTTGAGAACTGGAAGAATGAGGTGGAGTTGAGGAAAGCACAGAGTTCCATTTGCTGTGGTAAAAATAACCACCTAAAAGACTTTTGGAAGACAGTGAGGAATGATATTGCAGCAGTTAAGGGTTACTGGTGCTGAGGGAAGAGAGAGAGGGGAAGAAATTCTGTAGAGGATGTTTAGAATAGAAAGAGGCATCCAGTGAACGTAGTGCTTTTGATTTAGATGGCAGCTCACAGAATTAAGATATCTAAGCTTCTGTCACTGATGCTTTTACATGTGTGGTAATCTGTCCTGCTTACAAGTTTAAGATCTGGTGTTTGCTGACAGGTAGCAATTATGTAACCTTTAAAAAGAGAAAACAAGGGAATATATTAAAAGTAGCTGAGAGTTTGGAAAGTGGGTATAGCATTGAGCTACCCAGTGTTCCATTCTGCTTTTTAAGAAGGGTTTAGTGATGAAACAATATGGTAGAATGTCTTAAAATGGCAAATAATGTTAAACATATGGAACAGTATGGGTAAGTATCTGCATGTTTCATATGCTGTTCTGGTAGACCTGGCTAAGACTTCAGTAGTAGTTTAAAGGAGGGAAAGCTTAAGTCTTTCCTTCTGCCTTGGATAAAAATCCTAGGTAGAATTAATTTAGTAATAGGAAACATCCAAATAATATCCTAGTCTTTACTATGTACAGGTCTCCTCTCCCTTCTGAAGTTGCGATCAGTGAAATCTCAATAGGAGTATTCTTTCGTGAATAGACAAGTAATCTGAAATGCCAGGCAATAGTGTTGTTCAGAGTGGTATACTTGCATGAGTCAATGGTCCAAACGTGAGTGCTGTTATTACAACACTAATTATGATGTACACAAGAATTTTTATGACTTTTTCCTTTTTCTGCCCTAATTTTACAGGAAATCAGACATGATACACTGACAGCATTTGGAAATAAACTTTGGCAATAAGATGGAAGCATAACTCTCAAGACTTTAAACCAAAACAGAAATGGCTCATGAGTATTGAAACACGAGACTGAAGAGTCTCCAACACTTCCGTGTGAGCAGTGGAAAAGGAACAACTACCATGGTAACACTAATAACAGAAAAGCTGCAGAACCAGAGCTTGGATGATCTGACATGTAAAACATACAATATTAATCTGGTAAGGATCTACCAAAATAACACATAATAGATGTGAAATGCAAAGTAGGTTAAAAGTAACTCAAAACTACATAATAAATGCAAGAATTTAGATCAGCCAGAATTCAGCTATTTAAGTTAGGGCTGGTTTGCAAGGTGGATGAGAGTTGCAAGGGGAAAAAGTGAAACTTCAGTGTGTGGTCCTGCTTGAAGTAATGCTTTCTTATTTCAATGACTTTTTAACCTTACGGCTTCATTGTAAATAATCGGTGAAAAGCCTATTCTTTTCACAAAATAGTGTTCTAATGACTGAAAAGAATTACTGAAAATCTCAGGGTTCCTTTTTCCCCTAACAAAAACCACAAGTACTGCTATGTGGTGAAGTTTTCTTCACTTCATATAGCCAAGTGCGTGATATCCGACAACAGCATTTACTTACAAAAAATCAGTGACCACCATGTAAGTAACTATCAGCACTGGGCAGAAGGAGAACAGGTCATCAAGTAAATACAGTTGAACTGAAAGTCAGGTTACTGACTCACAGATTGTTGTTGATGCTAGTAGATCTGTACTTTATCAGTGTGTCAGATACCTGGTGCTCTGAAAAGTTTTGTTGGGTTATTTTCTGCTGGTTTAATCTGTGGGTCTGTGGTGTGGTTCAGGCATGCTATTCAGACACTGAGGAATCTATTCTCTTCGCATTTCATATGTGAAATATTACTTACTCCAGAGTGAGTACTACAAAATAGTCTCCCATCAATTTTAGGTGCCCACCTGAGAACCCTGAGATCATATTCTTTATGTAATGCACTAGCCTTCTTTCACTGACTTTAATTGCAATGGCACCCTTCTGTAGGTCAAGATTTAGGATACCAATAGGATGCGGAAGAAAAAAAAAATTTACTAAATGTCAAAGTATTGTTCAACTCTAGTTCTGTTATTTTTTTTAAAATAAATAATGCAAGCATTGAACCTCAAGCATGTTCAGTTACTTTAACACAGTAAGATTCTGCCTTTAACTTGTACTTAAGTAGCTGAACTGCTTCCTTATTTCATGAGCCCCAACCAGGTGAAGTGTATCCTGAATGCAGTGGAGTTTGTGAACAAGCACCTGCAATTCTCATGTATGAAGTGCTTGATTCTTTGTCCAATACTTTGTCCAGTAAGGATGTCTAATAGTAGATGTTAATCAAATGGTTTTATTTTGAAAACTGTAACAGGTCCATTTAGAGTTTTTCTAATAAACTTACTTGGTTTTACTATCTTCACCTTAAATACGTGCTATTCTTGAAAGGCAGATATAAGGTCTTGGAACAATGTTAAGTCTCTTAGAAGTGCTTACTCAGCTTGCATTTATTTTGGCTAGCTTGATGAAGAACTTGGGATATGCAGTTTGTAGGAGAATCTGCTGTATTCTTGAACTGGCAAACTCATCACTTACAACTACACTCTGGGCCTAGGTGTGAGCCAATGATGACCTGTAACCAGTAGCAGTGCTTGCCTCTAAACGTGTAGCCGCATCTTGTAATTTCTAGTTTTTGAGGCACTAAAGTTTGCATAAATTTGGAAACTGAGCTGTCCTTTTACTGATAGTCACTGTAGGTTTTGGACCAGGGACTTGTAAGAGCAGAGAAGGATGTATTACTGCTTTTATATTGTGTGGAGTCTATACAGGAGTGTGTTGGCATGCTGTAATATTTTGTAGGTTGGTTGTTTTTTATTCCTGTCCTTATCTGTACTTACAATAAAGCATGAAGAAGAATGAGTGGAGTGGAAAATGGCAGATGATGTCTCATCAGTGGTTTTGTCTTCACCCTTCTGCTCCTCTCCTCCTTTAATCTATCAAGTAACTGGCTTTTTTAAATGCTTTAGTTATTGTGGAAAATGGGTTCCAAGGCTAGGAACAGGTTCTGTTTGTACACAATGGCAGCTTGAAAAAGTGTGGAAATCACAAAGTTGAGGTGTGGAAATGGAGAAGCAAATGTGAATAAAAGTGTGCAACTAGGCTGCTCCCTACTAAAAAGGATTCATGGGAGTGAATGATGACTTCTTGACTAAAACATGAACTTAGGTTACATAACAAAGTACACTTTTTCCACTAGTCAAGACAACTGCTAAATTTCAATAAGGGAAAAAGATGGCTAGTGAGGGTCTTGAATCAGCTCTAGCACACTTAGACTTTTTGGCAAGAAGCACGCAAACTTCTTGGCAAGATGTTCAGGTTAATGCTGTAGTTTCTTCTAATAGCAACAGCAATTTAGAGCATTTCTGAAATGGTCTTGCCTGCACCTTTCATTAATTGTGCTGGTTCAAAGTTCTGTGGGACCATGTGGTGAATCATCTTGTGAGCTGATTGAGGATTAAAACTAACCTTTCTTGCCCAGGTTAATGTTAACCCTTATCAGTTTAATGATAACTTTCACAGTGCATCTGCACAAGTGCTTGTCTTGGCACAAGTAGCTAAAATAGCTGGGCAAAAGTGATTCTGTAATGCAGCTCATAAAATGAGGGTTATAAAAGAAAAGAAGAATGAATAGCTCTTTCAAAGCTATTTACCTGCCAGGTAGCCAAGCTGGGCATAAAGACAACATTTATAGGACATAATACAGTGTAAGCTGTATGATGACCAAGCACCTTTCTTTACCTGTTGCTGAAGTATGTTGTAAAATACTAGCTGTAGCTTCTTTTACTGCTCTGTTAAATGACATGCTAATTTTCCAAGCTGGTGTAATGTCATTTGGCCAGTGCATGCTCAGTTATGTTGTACAGTCTTGTGCTGCACCTGCCTTCAGAAAAAACCCAAATGATTTGGTTTCCTGCTGTAGAAGCAGGAAGGTTGTCCCAAGCTTTTATCTCAAGTGGGCACTGTAACTCACAAGGTAGAATAGTATCCCTGGCTGCTTGACTCTGCCTCACAACAGTGAGATGTTCTGTGAGCATATTATGGCTTTCATGAGTTGACAGCATCATTAAATCAAATAGTTGGTCTCTATATCCTTGAACATAGATCTCTTGAATTTTAACTTAAGAGTCTTGAGGGTTTTTCTGTATGTTCTGGCTAAGCTTGTACTTTTTTTGGTATTCATGTAGAAGCTAGTATTGGTTTGTGAAGTAAAAGTGTGTGAGATGCAAGATTTCAAGGTTTGGTGTTAGAAGGAAATGTTAGCATCTCCAGACAAGCATTAGTGGAAGGAAGAAGCTCTACTATAAAGCCCTTCTGTGCATGTGGATTTTCATTACTTTTAATTTTTATGAAGCTGACTTGTGTTGAAAGTCTTAGAATTGGGCTGGCTTCCTTGGATGGAAAGCGACTAGCTGAAAGACTTGAGGGCTGAGTCTTAACATGTGACTTGACTTAATCACTTCTTCCTGTTCTGAGGAAAGGTCAAATGCTTCTCCTCACTACTTTCTATCTAGTCATATTTGGAGGATATTTGGTAGAGAGATGGAGGTCTAGCGTGGCCTGTTCAAACAATGAAAGTCACATCTGTATGGTGGTGGTTAAATTAGTACTTGAATAATAAATGCAGGCTTTCCTGTCATTTGGGAAGAATTCTGATAAATTGGAGGAATTCAAATATACTTCAAAACTGGAGAAAATGCCTTGAAATTAAAGAAATTAATTTTAAAATTACAAAGATCAAGAAGTCATTCTGAGAATGAGGAGGATAGCACAGGCTGTAAAGATCTTAATGTAATAGATTGAAATGTATGTAGAAGAGCAGCCAGAATTATTTTTGTTACAGTTGGGTTTTTGCTAGCAGACAACCCTTTTTAAATTAGTGATGTAAATTATAATTCATTGTCGGTCTTGCTTGCATACCTCTTCCATTTACTCAGTTCAAGACTAGGTGTTGTCTTAAGTGAATATTTTAACGAAAGAACAGCTGCTAAGACTCAGTAGACCAACTTAAATTTGCAGTGCTGTCCTCATTTCATACGACACAATTCCTTTTGAGCATAGTCTCTCCAAATGCACAAAAGAGGTTCTACTTTTGAACAAGCATTTCAAAATAGACCAGTTTTCTTGCATGAAGCAAACAATTCCAACCTTAGGTGAGACTTGTAGTTTCATTGTTTTGTGTCTGTCTATCTTAGTGTGCTTCCCCCCCCCCCCCCCTCCCGGCCCGAAACAAGAGGCATCAGATCTTGGTGGCTTCTTTTAACATCTATTCAGAAAGCAGTAGTTGGAAGATGGACATGCATGACCTCTTGAGTTTCCTCTTCAGGAAAATGACCTTGTTGAATAATTTGGCCTTATTCTGAGGAAGATTTTCTTCACACAGAGAATAGTAGACTTCCCTGTCAAGGTTCTTAGCAATCGCAATCTCTTCTCAAGTATAATTGTTAAAAAAAAAAAAAAAAAAAAGCAGCTCTTCATTCAGGAAGCTTCAGGTAGAGGTCATAGCATGAAGGGACTGAATGGTGGAGGGTAGAGCATAGCCAACCCAGGAGAGCTGATAAACTAGTTCAGTGCCCTGCTACAATAATAACTAGTGGGACTTCTGCCATGTGCTGTATAGATAAAAAATACAGATAAAAAGATCCTTCCTCCTATAAACACTTTACAGCCTGATAGAGTGTACTAAAGTTAGGGCATCCAAACATCATTGAAATACACTACCAGGTAGTCTTTCCAAGTATTTTTAGTTTCAGTTATAGAAAGCCAAGTATATATCATAAAGCAGAGTCTTTACTTAATCTCCCCTTAGTCACCCATTATTTCAGTGCCTTGATCTTTTACTGGAAATGGTGCAGCTTACTGTCCCTTTTCTGCCTGTGATGTGACATGTGACATTGTTAGTGAGGGGTTTTGGTCTCAATCTCTGAAGAATTACACTTTTTCATAACTTAACAGGATTCAGTAAAAACTATCACTTAGGAGAACAAGTTGTAGTTGTAATATTTCCACTTTCTTATAGAACTGAGCACTGACTTCACTAGAAGCTGATCAGAAATAGCTATAAGGATGGGGCCGCTGTCTGTGTTAGAGAAGATTGCAGTCATTCTTTGTAGTACAGA